AAAAAGAAAAGAATTAAGGCTAGGTTTTTAAAGTGCATTTTTTCCCCTCTTTCGCAGGTGATCCTGGGGGGGGGGCGGAAATACATGTTCCCCAAAAACGCCAGCGACGTGGAGTACCCCCACGAGGAGAAGCATCGGGGCACCCGCCTGGACGGCAGGAACCTCGTCCAGGAGTGGTACGATGTCAAGCCCCCCAGCAAGGTGAGGGGGACATTTTTTTTGGGGTGGGGGATACACACACATCACCCCACTGCAACCTCGTGAAGCCCTTCCTGGGGTGGGGGGGTATGAAGCAGGCGATGGGGGGTGACAACCTGCCTGTCCCCAGGTCTCCAGGTACGTGTGGCACCGGCGGGACCTGCTGACGCTCAACCTCAGCCGTGTCGACTTCCTCCTGGGTGAGTCCCAGCACCCAAGGGTGCCCCCACCTCCACCGGGTGCTTTGGGGGACCATCCTGGGGTGCTGGGGCAGCTGGAGTGGCCAGGAACCCCCGGGGATGGTGTTACCCCCCATCCCTCACCTGGGATGCTGCTACCTCCAAGGGATGCTGGTACCCCAAAGGGTACCCCCTTACCAGGGATGCTGCTACCTCCAAGGGAACCCCACTCTGTGGGTGCTGGTACCCCCAAGGGGTGATGTTACTCCCCCCCCAAAGATGCTGCTACTCCTCTGGGGATGCTGGTGCCCCCAAGGGATGCTGTCCGTAGGGATGTTGGTACCCAACCCTGGGGATGCTGGTACCCAACCCTGGGATGCTGGTACCCTCTCCATCCCCCAAAGATGCTGCTACTTCCCTGGGGATGCTGGTACCCAACCCTGGGATGCTGGTACCCCCCCAAAGACATGTCCCCTACCCCCTGGGGATGCTGCTGCCTCCAAGGGATGCTGTTAACCCCCTTCAGGGATGGAGTTTTCACTCCCTGGGGATGGAGTTTTCACTCCCTGGGGATGGGGGGATTTTTTGGCCCAGGCTGCAGGATACGTCTGGGCCAGAGGAAGGAAGGGCTGGGAGCATCCTCCTGGCTCCAATCTAATCACCCTGGATCCGGGGGAGGCTGAAATGCTTGAGCCAGCACAAGAAGCGAGTGGCAGGGCTGGATTTGGCTTCCTCTCCCCGTTTTTCCCCCCC